GAAATGGTGGTTAGGAGGTCGTCTACTTCAACTTACCTGAGGTTCAACTTACTGTTGTGAAGTTAAATTAGTTTAGTACGCGGCGCGAAGCGCAACGCACACCTTCAATTCACATGCGGAATAACTTGCTCCCAGCGGCCGCGGGGAGCAATTTCGACTACAGTTTTTTCCCTTAACACTTACCTCTAAAAATTTCTTTCTCTGCCTATCTTATTTTCCCCCGCCCAAAACTCCTTAACCGCCGTTTTTGCAGGACAAAATGCTGGGACTATGGGGTATCTGAGTGGGCCTACATAAAGTACTTTTGCAGTTTATACCCCTTATTTGCCCTTCTCTAAACATGCTGAAATGTGTTCTCATAGTCGTTTGGACAAACGCTGGCTGGTGCTCAACTTCCACACTAGCAGATGAATGAACACATGCACATAGAGGTTGTCTGCGCTCGCAGTTTGTCGCTGATCTCTCCGTGTAGGACGGGGGTAATCGATAACAGAACATGGGCGTTGGCTGCTGGAAAGCTGGTCGCTACATGTTGATTCAGGCGCCTTCTTAGAAGTTCGCTTGGTTTTTCCCCTTAGAATGGGACCCTGATGAATAATCACTTCTTCTCTGCTGTTAACATTGTCGGCTTTGGCGGTCTTTCAGCCATGTTCTTAGTAACAAATCGACTGGGATTTCCATTTTGGCGAAACGCACATTCATCAATCTTAAGCTCCTCTTTGATGCTATCAGTCGAACAGATCCTTTTCGCCTTTTGCATCAAACATCGTACTAAAGTGCGCTTTAGCGGTACGGATCTAGCAAAATTGGTGTATTGCCGGGACCATTTCTTCTTACGATAGACTCCAAACTGAAAAGTCCCTTCAATCCTTTTACTTAATGGTACATCCAGGAAAGGGAGCGATCCAGATTGTTCTTCTATTGCAAACTTGATAGACGGACACACCCGATTTACAATATAAATTGGAGCTAAACGATTGGTTTGATCTGATGCCACCACGTATATATGATCTACGTAACTTCTGTCGTACGTCAGATTACCTATTTGGTAAACAAGTTGGGCAGCTTCCAATTTGTCCATGAATATGTTTGCTAGAAGTAATTACAATTACTTACCATTGAACCTTTAAATGCCAATACAGTTTTGAGCGTTTTCAGTGCCTTCGAGCTTTCGTCCATATATCCACATTCCGTTCGACGTTTATATAAAATAAACATTTGAAATACGATATCGATTAAAATAATTTATTGAAAACATTTGTTTTTGGAAGCACGCGCGTGACTGCCCCTGCGGTTTCAGGTGGCATGTGATTCCCGATTGTATTCGGCCAAGGGAGAAAAAATGATTGTACCAACGTCTTTTGGACAACAGAAGCTGGGCTTTGCCAAACAGCTTGCCACTGCCCAACTGGTGTCTGGAAACCGTTTGCGCAGGCCTTTAGAATACTGTTTTGGTGCATGGAATATGAACTAAAAGGCTTCCCCGGCGTCTGTGACTAACTGACCGTCTCACTCTCTATGTGATTATAACGACCTGAAGATGAATGACGGAGAACAAATGCTTGCCAATACAAGTTTACAAAACATTCTATTTACGATTTAACTTGACTTTACAAAAACAAGAGATTTCTAAAACAAAAGAATTCGTCACTGCTCTGGTCGATGCCCAAATTTAAAATCGTAAACCTACAATGTTTTTGTATAATAGAGTACTATTTGAGAGGAAAAAGAAGACACGACCGCTAGGAAAATACGTCTATTCGCCTGACATTTGGACATCCGTCGCAAATTCATCATCAGAGGTATGAGTAGGAAACAGTAGCAGAAACGGGTAATGCATACACAGAAGTTTGCAGTATTTATAGGATGCAGTAAGTCGTGCAAACATACAGCGACAATTAACGTTAATTGCCTTCTTGCGCGTGAATAGTTTGTTGGACGGCACGCAGGCTCTGACCTGTTGAATTTTTATCACGGGCGGTGGGCTCGGGCGTGATGATTGCTCGGCCATCTGGCTCTCCGTCGTTGGCGTAAGATGAGGCGATGGCCTGCCCGTTCCCCAAGTGATGACTTGCTTTGGCCAAATTGAGTCTCAGTACTTGTTGCACTTGTTTATGGATTGGGGAATTTTGTTAGATTTATTTATGAACATTTTGATTTAGGGATCTTTGTTAAAGGAGGAAGCAAAGAAAGCTTCTTAGATACCAACAACATCAAGCCTCAGCCCAATAATCCATGTTTTACTTCAGTATACAAGCTTGAACATGTACTTTATGCATCTGCTTTTCAAATACACACAGGGTTACGACTCCCTGTCAGGCCGGAAAGGACTGTTGGCTAACGCTAAATGGTAGGCCTTTTCCTGAGCTTTTATTATCACTCCGTTAACCATCTGTCTTTATTTTGCTGTTTCCCACTAGTAAGGCACATTCAGGCAGTTTTTCTTCCATAATGTAGCCTGGCAATTCTCACAGTTGGATTACTCACCATCCGCCGGCGAAGCAACTATAATTGTCACACCACAAAGCCCGTTTAAATCCCGTTCTGCTATCATTCTTAATAGGAAGGACACTGTCCCCCCAGGTAAATTTCTATCAGCAGTTTGATCATTTCTATACCTTTGCGATATAAAGCAATG